GTCGCCGTGAATAAAACTATTCCGGATTCGTATGCAAAATAGTCATTCCGATAAACTGATGTATAAAAGAAAAATAAAATCCTTCATCGCAAATATGGATTAACGAGATAGAATTAATGAATTAGAAAATAAAAACCTGAAGCCAATACCTTTGGCTTTTCAAATCTTTTGAAGCTTTTGAAACCAGTACTTTTCTATTGTAAAACGAGTAGCGGAGTATGAGGAAATTGCGAACATGGAGTAAACATAAATGATACTATTACAGTATCTAATAGAATACTATTGTGTATTAAAGTGATAACCTCTCATTGCCAGTGATAGTCTGATATTTAGTGCTGCACTGTAACATGTGACTATAGAATGCACAAGCTGTTTGAGATAAATACTGTTACATGTTTTCGAGGATTTTGATGTTGGGAAGAATGGGAGAATTGTGAATAGGTTAAGGGAAAAGTTAAATAAAACCGACAATTATTTATCAATAGAACTATAGAAGTCTTATTTAAACGATATTTTGCTTTAAATTACAGTAATTAATTATATATGTATTATTAATATTGTAATTTTAAACAAAAAACAAAATCAATTCGGCATTGCCTGGCAGCGAATAATTCCAAACAGCAAAAGTTTTGTTTTGATTTAAAATTGTAATTTATATTAATAATACTATACAAATATAATTATTGCATTTTAAATAAATGGAAATCTTTTGAATAAAGACTTTTATAACTGATAAATAATTGTCGCCTTCATTTAATTTTTTTCCAACAACAGAAAAAAAATTTGTTGACATCTCTAAAAATTTCATTGATTCAATAAATCTACAGTCGCGCAATATACGGCCAGCCAGTTTTCTATGTTAAAGTTACACAGTTTAATAAAATTAATGAATATGAATAATTATATTTGTTATAATAGTAGAGAAACTATAGTACAGCAAATTTAATAATACAGCAAAAATGACTTTCTATGAAAATTAATATATAGATCAACATTTTTAACAAAACATGCTGGCTAAGATGGCGAATGATGCTTTTGGTGCTATAATGAAAATGATGCTTTTGGTGCTATAATGAAGAAAACACATTACATTAGCAATTTTCATTGTAGCAAAGATTTAGCACTGATAATTGCTTACAGACATGATTTCTTTCTATAAATGTTGAATTCGTGCAGGAAGCTATAGCTTTGCTGAACCACTTAATCTATTTTTTCCGTGTTCGCAGTTCCCTCACTCTTTCTTAGACATTTTTTTTAGTTTTTCTAAAGATCGGTACTTTGCCCGAGACCGCTTGATTATGTGTTTGAAAGAAATATATTCTCCCATAAATCAATGGGTCAACTCGCGTGATTAACTGAGTCCTCGAGGATTTCTCGCGGCTGCGCCGGTGGCGATTAACCGTCGGACTAATGCCAAATACCTACATATAACATCGGAGGATAATATCGGATGCATCGTGCGGTCGATCGGATGGGCAGCCGTAAATAAACGGATAACGATAGCTCTCGTATCTCTGCGGTGCGAGCGTGAACAGACGTTCCCGAATCCGCGCGTTTATGCACAACGGATTGGACAGTCATGTAATTTCGAGATGGAGGCGAAGCGGCTAAAGCGTGATATTGAATCACACGGAACTGAGAGCCATATGAGCGTGATACGAGAAACTCATACTTTCATTATCTTGTATTATCGCATCAGCTAGATACGAAATATCTTGCATTTAAGATCGTGATTATGAAAAAATACAATAGTTTTTTATAATAATACTCTATTATAAGTTGACAAAGAGTGTGTAAAAATTATGAAATAAAAATTATGAAATAAATTCGAAATGAGAGTAAACCAAGAGAGAATTAATACCGAAATTCGATATAATTATTATAATTAATTTCAATGAAATCGTCCAAATTTGTTATTAAAATTAATTTAATTGATATAGAATGTTTCCTCCTCCCCCGAGATGATTTGCTATAATAGAATAATGGAATTGAGTTCATTAATTTGTAAACTGATTTTAATTAATTGCACTTAAGTTCTAAACTTAATGCTCATATTCTATATTGATAAGATAAAATAATGTCTTTTATGACTTGAAGATAGTTTCGCGACGCGGAATAAAATTTAAATCTCTTAAAATTATGAACGAAAAGAATCTTGTTATACTGCAAGGACGCTATGTTGCAAAGGTTTTACATGGCGTGAGGCTTTTCCATTTTATCCTTTTAATTTCGAAACCGGTCGCCTAAGTAAGCGTGTTACTTTTGCGTACGTTCTCTCGCTAGCGCATCCATGCATCGCGCAAGCTATCGGAATCGAATTAATGTCCCTTTACGTTCGCGCAAAGACACTTCAAACTGGCACAACCAATCCAAATTGTTACGCCGCGGCTCAAAGGATCGTTTCGGGCCCTTGAGCAAGGTCGACCCCGATGACATTCTCTATACGATCACCAGAGCTGAAACGACGTTTCACTAACATACTTTAACTTTCGGAAAACGTATTATAATTGCTTGATGAACTCTTCGGACAATTCGACATTCCAATTAAAGCACGACAGTTTCTATTAAAATCATGAGATTCAATGATCATGTTATATATATTTGTAATATCTCCGGAGAAAACTTGTTATTTCTAAAGAAAAAAATATTATTAAGTGATAAAAGTCATTTAAATCAAAAAGTCATTTTAACTTAACTTTAAACAATTTTATATGACAGATTTTATATGACATGAAAAATGACTTTAATACTTCTATAAAAAATATACGATATTTACATGGTTTTTATAACCGATTTCAACTTGTTTCTCAGAATGGAATTTCTTGCAATTTTGTGTAAAAATAGTGTTTGCACGATTCCCAAGTCCGAGCATCTAGTATTGGTTTCGACAGCGATACTGTCCACGTACCGGCGATCTTATAACGGCGAAAGTATCAACTACGGTTATTTCCAGCTGTTTACTTCCACGCCGCGTGGTCAACGCAAGCAATTACACTGTGCAAAGTTTAGTCTCAGCTGCTCCAATTTGCACTCAGCAACAGGAAGGAGGCTGTTACGTGTAGAGTGGATAGCGAATGCCTACCCTTTTCGAAACATTTGGTGTAAGTGCTCTCTCCCTTTCTCTCTTTCTTCCGTGTAATTTTCTGCGGACTTCCGGATATAAATGAGAAAACCGAAAGCTTGTGTGACCGAATGGAACTATTTGAAACTATAATTTGTTTTTCCGAGAAATATTATTTTGTGATACTGCTTTAATTGTGTTAAAGAAATATCGATTTCGAGCTGAATAGAGAATTGATAAAATTGGGAGAGAGAAATAAATTATTAAATGATTGACAATTCGCCAATTTAGTATTTATTTATATATATAATATTCAACATTATATATATATATATATATATATAAATATAAAATATGTTATTTTTAATAATATTTTAAATTCTTGTGAAGAGAGAAAATTTATTGCTATTCAAAATTTCCATTTTAGAATTTACATCTTAATTTCCATACAAGTTTCAAAAACAAAAGAGAACGGTCAGATAATTATTTATGGTTCACTATAACATTTTATCACGGTTAGACCGTTCATTATACCATGTTGTTCTGTAATACCGTTTAACGTTTATTAACGTTTAATAACGTTTACAGTACGGCTCGATGTTCAACATTATCTGATAGTCTTGCACTGCACTCATTTAACTTTTTAATGGATAATGAACCTGTTATCATGTCTCCCATCCCATGGATATTTAAATTTGTTGGTTAATTATACAGAGTTTATTTTTGCCTGATTATTACCATGATTTCGATACCATAAATGGCAGTGTTTTCCCATAGGGAGTTGATTCAGCCAATTTTCGGGAAGTATCTCTTTACGCAGCCATTTTATATAATACGATCGGTATACAATGGATAAATATGTACTTAGCAGTGTGCATTTGCGCTAAAACAAATAATTTGCCAAATTCTAACTGATGGCTAATTGTAAGTAATACAAACAATTGATCACTTAAGTTAATTTCTGAAATTAGTACAATATCCCTAAAAATATGCATATTATATATGATAATATATGTTCTATAAACAACACGTAATAAAATATTACGTGTCAAAGCTGTAATAAAATATTATATAAAATTAAAGATGTTTAGATATCAGAATTTATCAAATTTTTTTGATATCTATTTATATTTATTTTTATAAAATCGTGCTGCTTTTCTTTCGATTCTTTAATTTCTTCGCTTTGAAAACGATCAAAGAAAGATAATATATACATATGCATTACGAGCACTATTTTCTTTTATAAGGTCCAAGAGACTTACAAGAATCACTCTTGTCTAAAAGTAACCACGTGAAGCGCTTGTTATTCGAACTCGTTCGAATAAAATTCCAATCGCTTACCCGAATGTTTATCATGAAGAAAATTTCGTGCCGGCTTTTAGGAGAATTTATCGGTATAATCGGATTCGTTCTTTCTCCCGGCGTGATAATTAGCAAAAGAATCATCGACTGATGTTTCAGAAAAAATTATGCGCGCTTACGTCAAGCGTAAGAAAAAATTCTTATCCGCATCGAATTATTAATTTTCAATTATTGGAAATACACTAAAAATATACAAAGGATCTCGCAATCATTTGTTTTTTTTTCTAACGATGACGATTAAATTTTAAAAATTTGAAAAAAGAAATTTGTCAATATAAAAAATGTAGCAAAAAATCTGGTAAATATCATTTTCAAGAATGCTCGTAATTGATTCACATTCGATATCGCGAAATCAATAAAATAATTTTTTGAAACTAATATTTTTATGTAGTCTTGCGGTACATACATATATATATATATATATATATGTATCTGACTACATTTATATGTATAATCCAGTGATATATGTATACATATCTGGTTGCAGCGAGAACATTATTCGTATCGTGACGCAGCCATGTTTCGCGAATGCGCGAGTCACCATCATATTATCAACCATCATTCGATCTGTACTTACAGTGCACTTTCAGCTTCCATCGGTCCTCGATACTGGCATCCGGCAGTTTCGGATTCTCGGCACGACACACTAGAAACTTTCCCTCGTCCTCCACCGTCGGCGTAAATTGCAGACTCACGCCGTCCTGCAATTGCGAATAGCAGTCATTCGTCTTTGCTCCTTGCTCGGGATACTGATTTATCAGAAGTTCTAGAGAATCTTGCTTCACGCTCTTTAAATGGATCTCAACACGGTTGAAATTTTCAATAATTTTTTTTTACATTTATCGCTATTGGTTAATCGTTATTGGAGTATAAATTCGAATATATCTCTGTTAGATATGCAATATGAGAAAATATAAAATTATAATGTAATTATAATTTCGTACGCTCTCTTACTCATATCTATTAATAATAATAATTTAATGTAAAATAAGTTTAGAAATATTAGAGATATTAGATACATGAATATGTAATTCCTATTCTACTAGATAATCATTAATTCTTTAACGCGTCATATTATAAATATAACTTTTATAACTTATAATATCGAATTTTATTGTCGCAATTTCAATTATTTTATCATACTGATTTATGTCTGTTTCGCATTTTAAACATCGTCGTTTTTGCTGATATTATCTTATTATAGAGATTACAGTCAGAACGAATCGCAACACAAGCGTCAAACAAACAAAAATAAACAATTTCATAACGTACCTGTGTTACATTTTTCTCCTTTCCCGTCTCTCTCTCTCTCTCTCTCTCTCTCTCTCTCTCTCTCTCTCTCTCTCTTCTCCTCCTCCTCCTCCTCCTCCTCCTCTCTCTCCCTCTCTCTTTCCCCTTCCGCAAAGGTAAAATTGCGGTCGCGCCGCATTTTTTGTTTTATCGTCTGACATAACTAGCAGTTCGCGCTGTTTACGAGACTTTAAACACGGTGCCGAACAGACCAGCAAAGCGTACGTTTTATCGTAACAGCGAGACCGTACATTTTTCAAACGCGAACAATAGACGCGTGAAATGTTAAAATAAATACGTGCGTTTTCGTTTCCAGAAATGTGTGACCATATTTGTTCTTGTGTACGGTCGCGGTCGCGCTTGCGAAAATCCCAGAGTTGAAAAGTTACGGGATATAGCGTCGTTTAAGCATTATTATTTTCGAGGCTTTTTCTACTTACAAGTTACATTCGAGGTCACCGCAAGCATCACCCGCGAGCTTTATATATTTTTTTTACAACTCGATTCTCTCGAATTTTATAACGATCCTTTTATCGTTTGTATTCCACCAGAAATACTCCTCTTCGAGAGTCTCATAAAATCGATAGCGGGGCATTCGATGATTAGGATTTCTTCCGTCGGAAGGTGCAGGAAAATAAATTCGATTCATGCACGACAGAAATGTGACGATGATTTTTGGCCACGATAAAATTGATTTAACGCAAACTGCACTAAATTTCGGTGAAACTAAACGCGACTGTTCCAGGTATTAATCTTCGTCCCATAAAATTTCCATGACAATCGAATCGTTACCACGAGGGAATTCGCGTAATGCTTTCTTAACTCGCATGGATTTTCCTGCCGAAAGAGGAGAGTCGAGGTAGCGAATATCCGATTTTTCCTATCGAGAAAAATCGACTACGTCATTGCATTAATGACGCTCCATCGATCCCGATTCTCAGATGAAATTTTCACTCTCATCGCGTAGGAAAAGAAACGCGCTCTTTCAACAAATTTTATTTCTCAATTTATACGTCACGATCGAGTTTTTTTACAAACTGTAAATTATTTATTAATGATATTATTATTAAAACACGTTATATCCTCGATATTACTATTGTCATTATGTAAAAGCAATTTCGTAATTAATCTTATGCAGCGTACATTAATCTTACATAATTATATTATACGCAATTCGGTAAATTAGAATGCATTAAATTATATATTTAAATTAGATCACTATCTACTGTTATGTATTAATTTAAATGTATCCCGAATTGCAAAACCAATGCAATTAACAGAAATAAATGCAAACAATGTGCTCTGTGAGCGAAAATTGATTGCTTATAAATTTTTAATAATCGCGGAAGTTTTGTCATTACTGTACATAGAGAAAAATTTTTCTCCATATTACTTCTTTATTTCTTCAATAAAATTATCGATAAAAGCTTCAAAAAATTTGTTTATAAAGTTAACAACCGTTACGACTGTTTTATACACGAAACTATCATTCTATTAAAAAAAAAATATTCAATACAGCGAAATCGATATTGCTGTATCTAATTACTGTCTCGTCGCGAGAAAAGAATGACAAGAGAGCGGAGCGTGTCGTAAAGTATCTCAGCGTTTTTTGAAACGCCACATCTCAATTTCAAATATCCTATCGGCGTACGGATGGAAGCTCGAACCAGCGGCCAGGTCGAACGAAAAACGAGATACACGGCGCTGTATCCCGAGGAAACGCATTCTCCCGAGAACGCGCTCTCTCGCGGAATTTATGGCGACGCCGCCTAAAATTTCGGTACCGTTACTCATGTAGATTCGCGAGTGGAAAATATGCGCGGATGCGGACCATGTGTACGGCTTCGTGTATGTATAATATGTGTGTGGGTGTACGCGTGTAACCACCCGTCGTTTTCTTGTCGCACCGCCCTGCGCATCAAATTTCAACTTTCTTGGTATTTTCCGTTTCCCTACGTCCGTTCCGTTTCCCTTCTTTTCTTGTCTTTTTCTTCGTTTTTTTACTTACTTCTCTTACGTTGTGTCACGCTTACTGTTTCCCGCGCAAGCTGGTCGAAAATAATAGCGGAAGAATAAAAACGAGAGTAAAAAAAAGAAAGCAAGGGAAAAATTGAATGAGCTCCGGAAAAAATTAAAATCAAATCCCCGACGAGCAGGTGGCTGATCTCGGCTGTGTACCGACCGTCGTTCTCGAAATTCAAAAAAATTTCAACCGGAGTTTACTGGCGAAAATTCCGACAATATCTTAACCAGCGGTGCGGAATTTTCGAAATTCTGATTTGCATGGTCGGATTACGCTGCTGTGCATCCCATGCATTCTGGTAAGATTATGCGTTTAATTAGAGGCGACTCTTTCAAGTCGGCTATTTAGATAATATATCCACATATAATGTATAATAATACATAAAATAATAGATATAAAAATAATTTTAAAAATGAGCAAATAACCCAAGAATAAAATTACATTTGTTTTTGCTTAAACATCAAATCAGTCTACAAGTATTTATAACGAATTTTGAAATAAATTAAATGTACGACAATAAAAAGAATCTTATTTCCGATTAAAGCGGATGTTGGTACTTAATAATATATCCATATTTGCATATAAATATTAAATTCAATCGAAAATAGGATTCTTTCTATTATTTGATTTATTCTTATTGATCTAATCTTTCCACTCTTATAATTGTTTAAATAAAATTTTATAATTAATAATATGTATATTCCTTTATTGTTAATTTCGTTTCCAATTGACAATTTTATTTTATGCATGTCAAAGAAATTAAAGATATCAAATATATCTACATAAATTTGCATAAAATAAGATTTCATTTATAGACAAATTCATTAATTCCACTTATTCATTAAAATCGTTACCATTTATATGCCTAAGAAAATAAACTGGAATTTTGACAGAATATCCCATCCATTTGCAAAACGTAATTGTACGTTACGTTGTAGGTAAGACGCAATTTGCGTAGTGCATTCCATCCCTTTGTGCAACGCTACTGTTACGATCCCCATGAAAGGGCTGGGATTAACTTCTTCTTACCTTCGTGATGGAGACACGGGCGAAAGGAAGAGCTATAGAGACAGAGAGAGACCTTCCATCTTTTCATGTACATACACACGGCGCGAATGTATACACACACACCGACATTTGTGTACAGACAAAACCACAGCACGGATCTGCTGGCCCGGAAACTCGCTTGTGTCTTCAGTTACCCGGTATATTCGTTCCTCGAGCAAGAAAGGTTTCCACAAGGCTTTACGCCGCACATGTTAAATACATTTGTGCGGTATCACGCGGTTAACGATGTTCTACTGTCACGGAGTCATCCGCTAGTTAGCCGGCTTAAAAAGCAAATGAAATTTCATTGTAGACCGGCAGCTCTCTGTATAAATAAAATTACCATCTACTATCGATCGGAAAAAAAGAATTAAAATATTCACTAAGGTCAAGAAAAATTGCTCTCAGGCTAAAAAAAATTGTAGCAAAATTCCAATAATGCGTTACGAATAGGAGTGTCTCTCGTACTTTCGGAAATCTCAGTATTTTTAAGACGATATCTCTATCACATTTCTCTCTTACAAAAATAGATGCCATATAGAGATGATTATATTCTCGTATTTCCTATCTTAGTATAAAGGAATGCGCATTTTATTTGCAAGGTGAATGTTCGTTGCTCATTCTATTCGTACGGGAGCTTCCAAGAAGCGAAATAAATCCATGTCGCTTCTTTATGTTGCATTCTTTTTTCTTCATCTCCATCTGCTGCTAAAAGCGAACGAACATGACGCAGAATAGCACATGTGCACATCGAATTTCGCTCATCTTCTGACCGAAGCAGGAGGATAATATCTCTTGGAGCGAATCAGACTTGCGATGAGATAGATAGCTGGCATCGAAAGCCTTTCAGCTTATTGCTGTCACAAGCAGCCGCAAATGTTGAAGCAAATGCGGTTCAGTGCCATAGTGGTGGATTTGATAAAATTTAGTAGTTGATGTTGCCAGTGGAAAAGTCACCCATCGCTTCGCACGGAGCGGAATTTTAGAATGCTATCGCTCTATTGAGTAATACAATATCGCTATCAATTTTATCAAAAAATTTTTATAAAAAAAAAACGTATTTTTTATGTGAGGAAATAGGGACTACTTTTAATTAATTAACATAAAAATTTGAATGCATTTTACATTTTTAATGATAAAATATTTGTTTACATTTATATTTACTAAAAATATAAATGTAAATGTAATAACTTAAACCTTTGTAAATACGAATAAATAAATTATTACTTTAAAAAGAAAGAAAGAATGAGCGATGATATACGATAATATTTTATTATACTCAATCTTTAAATGATACGGAGTATGTAACCTAGTTAGATGTATATCTTCTTATAACATTTA